GGGGACCTCGTGGCGCGGCCCCTAGGCTGAGCTCTGCCTGGGGTGAGGGGGCTTCTTCAAGCGCCAGCCCCCAGTGGGGAAGGGAGCCTGGAGCAGACGTGTTTGTTTACGAAGCCAAGGGGACAGGGGGACTCTCTCCCCATGGGAACCTGGCCCTGGGATCCCTCTCCCTCGGGTGGGGCTGGCACTGGGTCAGGGCGTGAGGCTGTGGGAGGACAGTAGGAAGGGGCTCAGAGGCCCCTGTCCTCTGCCCCAGGTCATACAGGAAGGGGCCTGGAGTGCTGTGTGAAGAGGTCCAAGAAGACCTCTCTTCCAGGCACTATGGGAGGGGCCTCAGGAACGTGGGAAGGGCTGAGCGGCTCCTGCCCAAGGCACTATGGGAAGGGGCTCAGAGGCACCCTTGACCGCTGCCCCATGGCACCATGGGAAGGGGCTCAGAGGCACCCTTGGCCGCTGCCCAAGGCACTATGGGGAGGACCTCATAGGACCCTGGGGAAGGCTCCTGATGACTCCCAGCCAAGGGCACCATGGGAAGTGGCCCCAGAGGGTGAGCCAAGGAGTTTAAAGAGAGCCCTCTCCTCTGGAGCACTGTGACTCTAGGACTGTGGGAAGGCGGTGTTCTAGGGCATTGTGGGAAGGCACCCAGAGGTGTTCTAGGGCATTGTGGGAAGTAGCCCACAGCATTGGAACCTCCCAGAGACCGTGGAGAAGACAGAGCTTCTGTTCTGGAAGGACCTCAGAAGTCAATGCCCAATACCAACCCAGAAGGGTCACCACTCTGCTGCAGTGGCCACCTGGCTCCTGGGAGCTGTTCCCATTCAGGGTCTTTGTTCTCCCGTCTTTGGCTTCAGAGTCAGGGACAGGCTTTGGGTGGACAGCCGGGCCAGGAGCAGGACAGCTGATGCCCCCAGGATGCCACCGGCCTGGTCCTTGGGGATGCATGGAGCCCTTCCAGAGGGGATGATGTGGGGACCTGGGCCTAGAGACCCCTGAGAGCCCTACCTGGTACATCCCCATCCCCGAGACAGTCCCACTGGGCAGTGGGAGATGCAGATGGCCAGACGGCTGGTGGCCGTTGCTCACACACCTTCCCCGACCCCAGTCCTCTTGACGGACAAGGAGGGTGGCCAGCTGCCCCAGGACGAGGTGTTGGACGAGGCCGTGCTGGGGTACCAGGCCCCAGGGTGGAAGAGCCTTCAAGAGCTCCAGGAACTGGACCTCAACGATGGGAGCCTGACCAAGTACAAGCAGGCGCTGCTGGGGCCCCTGCCGCCGGTGGCAGGTATGGGAGGGCTTGAGCACAGGAAGGGGGAAGGCACTGTGGGGGGCAGGGCATCCTGTGACCCTGTGACCAGCCATTTCTCCTCCTCAGACGCCAGCCTGCCCAACGTGCAGGTGCTGCGGCTGACCTTGTTGTCCGAGCAGGCCCCGGGGCCCATCACCATGGACCTCTCAGGTAAGGACACCTCAACGCTGGGGCCCCAGGTGGGGGCCTCACGGGGGCAAGGCCAGCCACACCCTGCTATCTGGGGCACAGACCTGTCACCGTGGCCCTCCGAGAACCTCCACACCCAAGTCCTCAAGCCCATCTCCAGGGACCTCATGGCCCCCTGCCTGGGGTTCCTAGGGAAGGGTCTGGACCACCCTAACAGCTCAGACCCAAGTTTCCTAACAGGGGACCTGGCTGTGCTGAAGAACCGGGTGTTTGTCCTGAAGGAGGGTGTAGATTACACAGTGAAGATCACCTTCAAGGTGAGGATGAGGGTGGCTGCATGGGGGGGGCAGGCACAGCCAGCCATAAGCCCAGCACCCCAGGGACCCCACACCCTCTGTCCCCACAGGTCAATAAGGAGATCGTCTGTGGTCTCAAGTGCCTGCATCACACCTACCGCAAGGGTCTGAGAGGTGAGGGCAGGCTCAGGGACACGGCAGGGCCGAGGGCTGTGGGCCCACAGAGCCCTGACGGCCTCTCCCTCTGCAGTGGACAGGGCCGTGAACATGGTGGGCAGCTACGGCCCCAGCGCACAGGAGTACGAGTTCCTGACTCCAGCGGAGGAGGTGCCACGGGGCGTGCTGGCGAGGGGCATCTACGTGGTGTCATCCTGCTTCACAGACGACGACCGGGTGGTCCACCTGTCCTGGGAGTGGGGCCTCCGCATTGGCAAGGACTGGCAGGACTGAGCCCCGCCCCTCAGGCCATCCCATTTGGTCCTTGTTCCCCCTCCTTGCTCAGTTGTTGCACATGGACCCCCAAGTGCTTCCCAGCCCCCTCGGTCAGTGATCCTGCCCTTGACCCCTCACCCAGCCCGGGACCCCATGACTGTCCCATTAAACGTCACCTCACCGGTCTTGGTGCCTTCGTGTCGCCTCTTTCTGCCTCCCCCTCCCTGCAGGGGGGGGCCTTGCTGCCTTATCTCCCACTGCGTGGGCCTGCGTGCCACGTGGCGGCCGCCGCTTGGCCCCCGGCCCCCTTATCTGCACCTGCGCCTGGGCCGCGGCACCGCCATGGACTGCAAGCTGCTGCCTGCACTGCTGCTGCTGCTGCTGCTCAAGGCCTCAGGCTCCCGGGGCCAGGAGCCAGAGCCCGGGGAGCCCTCAGGAGAGGCCCCGGAGCAGGTCCCGGAGGGCGTCCCCGAGGAGGATGGGGTCTTGGTGCTGAGCAGGCACACCCTGGGCCTGGCCCTGCAGACGCACCCAGCCCTCCTGGTGGAGTTCTGTGAGTCGGGGACGCCGCTGCTACTAGGGGCTGACCTAGGCATGCAGACAGCAAGGGGCCACCTTTCCCTGCTGGCTCCTGTGCTCGGCTGGGCTCCTTCAGAGGCAGCTTTGGGGCGGACAGGGACCACACAGGGACAGAGCAAGACCCAGGGACAAGAGCCCACTCAATCCCCTGCATATGGTGCCGCCCTCTCCCTGGTCTGGTGGCCTGGAGGCCCCAAGGCAGGGCTGCAAACTGAGAGCTCTTCTGGCTTTGTGGCCACACATGGTCTACGTCACACAGCCAGTCCACTCTGAGCTGGCCCCCGCCAGCGGTCACACTTGTCATCCCCACCTTAGGAACAGGGCTCATGCTCTTAGGAGATCATTGCTCTAAGCCCCTAGCCCCCGAGCGGCATTGTGCCTTGAGGAAAGGGGGTCAGGGTCTCCAGAGGTTGTGTTTGGTCTCCACTGTGGCCAAGGGAGGTGGCTGCTGAGGAAGGTGTATGGACAATGTGCCTGTCCCCTGCGGTTTGAGACGCCAGGGGCCACAGGCTGTGGCCAGGCGGTGTGGAGGGGCTGGGGCCAGGGAGGCTGAGGGGCCCACTCTCAGCCCTGCTCCCCCAGATGCCCCAGGGTGTGGGCACTGCAAGGCGCTGGCCCCTGAGTACAGCAAGGCGGCCACACTGCTGGCAGCAGAGTCCGTGAGGGCTACCCTGGCCAAGGTGGACGGGCCTGCGGAGCCAGAACTGACCCAGGAGTTTGGAGTGACTGGGTACCCCACGTTCAAGTTCTTCCGAGATGGGAACCGGACACACCCTGAGGAGTACACAGGTGTGGGGGCCAGCATAAGGTGGGGGGTTGGTGGGGGTGAGGGGCTGACATGGGGCATGCCCAGGCTGAGCAGGCCCCCTCGGCAGGCCCCCTGGAGGCTGAGGGCATCGCCAAGTGGCTGAAGAGGCGCGTGGGACCCAGTGCCACACAGCTGGAGGATGAGGAGGGTGCCCAGGAACTAATGCACACCCAGGACATCGTGGTCATCGGCTTTTTCCAAGTGAGCCGGAGGCGTGGGGGCCGGGCCTGGGAGTCGGCCTGAGGCACCAGCCAGTCTTACAGGGTTGGGCTGTAGGACCTGCAGGACAAGGATGTGGCCACCTTCCTGGCCCTGGCCCAGGATGCTCTGGAACTGACCTTTGGCCTCACTGACCGGCCGCAGCTCTTCCAGAAGTTCGGCCTCACCAAGGACACTGTGGTCCTTTTCAAGAAGGTGGGGTCAGGGCCAGTGGGGCTCCTGGGGGGGTCGGAGCCGGGTGGGGGTCCTGGGGGGGGGTCAGGGCTGTGGCTCCCACTGACTGGCTAGTGTGACCCAGTTTGACGAGGGTCGGGCCGACTTCCCCGTGGATGAGGAGCTTGGTCTGGACCAGGGCGATCTGTCGCGCTTCCTCCTCACACACAGCATGCACTTAGTCACAGAGTTCAACAGGCAGGTGAGTCAGGCTGCAGGTGCCGGGGCTGGTGGCCTCAGGGAGCCTGGGCTCACAGGAGCCACCCTACAAGCTTGCCTCCCCTGCAGACGTCCCCTAAGATCTTCGCTGCCAGGATCCTCAACCACCTACTGCTGTTCATCAACCAGACACTGGCCTCGCACAGGGAGCTCCTGGCAGGCTTCAGGGAGGCGGCTCCCCCGTTCCGGGGGCAGGTACTGGGGGGCCAGGAGGGGTGGGCTGGCCGGCTGGCATGATGCTTAATATCGACTCCTGCTGGCCAGGTGCTGTTCGTGGTGGTGGACGTGGACATGGACAATGACCATGTGCTGCAGTATTTTGGCCTGAAGGCCCAGGAGGCCCCCACCCTGCGCCTTGTCAACATCGAGACCACCAAGAAGTACGCACCTGCGGACGGGGGGCAGATCACCGCGGCCGCTGTCTCGGCCTTCTGCCACTCGGTCTTCAATGGTGAAATCAAGGTCAGTTGCGTACCCAGCACCATGGGCCTAATTGGGCAGGGACACCTGCCCTGCAGAGCACCCGCCAACACCATGCCTGGCCTGGTCCCCAGCCCTACCGCCTGAGTCAAGAGATCCCACCCGACTGGGACCAGCAGCCTGTCAAGACTCTTGTCGGCAAGAATTTTGAGCAGGTGGCTTTCGACGAGACCAAGAATGTGTTTGTCAAGTTCTGTGAGTGCCTCTGGTGGGTGGGGGTGGACAGCAAGCAGGCTGGCGGGCAGACCCCGGAGGCCAGTGCCACGTCCCCCTGCCCTAGATGCCCCGTGGTGCACCCACTGCAAGGAGATGGCTGCGGCCTGGAAGGCACTGGCCGAGAAGTACAGCGACCGTCAGGACATAGTCATTGCCGAGCTGGACGCAACGGCCAATGAGCTGGAAGCCTTTGCTGTGCATGGCTTTCCCACGCTCAAGTACTTCCCAGCAGGGCCAGGTCGGAAGGTGAGGGTGGACAGTGGACAGGAACCCCCTTTGTCTGCCTAGCCTGGCCCTTGGTCCATTGCTGCCTGATAGGGCGGGGCCTGGAGGACAATGTGTAGCCTGGGAGGGACAGAGCTTGCATAGGACAGAACTGGGGGCATGGCCCCAGTGGATTGGACAGAGTCTGGGAGGGGCGTGGCCTCAGAGGGTCGAACAGAGACTGGAAGGAGTGTGGCTTCAGTGGGTGAAACCTGGGAGGGGTGTGATCTCAGAGGGTGGGGCACATCAAGGGATGCTGATGGTTGGAGGCGTCAGGATGGGACATGGCCTCCAGGTCCCTGGTCTCTCCTCTCAGGTGATCGAATACAAGAGCACCAGAGACCTGGAGACCTTCTCCAAGTTCCTAGACAATGGGGGCGAGCTGCCCACGGAGCCCTCCGAGGAGCCTAAACCCCCCTTCCCGGTGGGTGCCCCACATGAGGCTGTTGGGCCTCTGGCCAGATCTCTAGGGTGGGGGGCTCAGCTGCTGGGTGCAGGCCATGGGTGGAGCTCTTGAGCAGGGTGTCTGGGACCCTTCCAGGAGACGGCCAACTCCAGCACCATGCCCAAGGAGGAGTTGTAGCCAACTGCCGGTGCCCTCCCATCGCCATGTGAAGACCCTCCTTGCCTCCCCACACCCCTGTGGCCCCGCCGCCCGGTGGTGGGCCTGCCTGTCCAGTGGTGAATAAAAAGCCCTGTCCTGCCTGGCTGTGCGTGTGCTTACGGGTTCAGTCCTGCCTCCCGCCCGTGGCTTGAACCTCAGCCTCCCAGGTGGATGCCGACACTGGGCAGCTGTGGGCAAAGCCACAGGAACCTTGTGACCCACAGAGCAGGTGTGACGTTCCTGGCCAGGGCTTGGCTCGGTGACAGGGCAACGTGTGCCAGACCAGCAGGGAGCTAGGCTGGCACGTCGCAGCCTCGAAGCAGACAGGACACCCACCCACAGGCCAGAAGGTTTACAAACGTTTTATTTCATTATTATCCAAGTACCTTTGAAAAGACCATTGTACAAGTCAGCGCATGAGAACAGCACGGGCGGCTGCCCGCCAGCCCTGCCTGAGAAATGTACATATTTACACGGGGTGCAGGGGTTGTGGGGTGGCTGTCCCTGGGAGATGGTCCTTGCCGTAGATTCACACAGTGGCAGGCAAGGGACAGGCTGTGTCAAAGGCACTCGGTGACATGTACAAGTGACGGGCCCTCGAGTGGGGATCCCGGCGGGGAGCAGATACCCCGGGGTGAGCCCCCACCCCAGGCAAGGCCTCCAGGGTCAGGCAGGGCCCGTTAGCAGCAGAGGGACTGCCGGGGCTGGCCGGCTTGTGGGGCTGCCCTGCTGGGCCGGCCCTCAGTATTGCTATGGCGACTGGGCAGGCCTCCCTACTCAGTGGCCGCACAGAGGCCTGTGGGGCCCCTCAGAAGGACCAGACCCCAGACACAGGTGAGAACAGGGCTGCCCCGTCCAGAGGCTCTTCCCCGCGCCAGGGCGGCAGTGTGTGGCCTGTGGGCTACCCGCTGGGACCAACGCCTGCGGTCAGTCCACCTTCTCCACCTTGCCAATGATCTTCTCCTCGAAGATGGGCAGGGTGGCCTGGTCCTCCTGGACTTCCTCAAACACCACACCGCAGTCAAACTCGTCACTCACTTTTTTGAAGTAGTATCTGTGAAGGCAGAGGGCGGGTGGTGAGGGCGACAGCAGCCCACTGCCCGCGCGCCCCTGGCGGCTGCGGCCGGCTCTCACCTGTAGCTGCCCTTCTTGGTCAGCAGTTCCTTGAACTGGCCCAGGGTGACCCCACGGCCCTTCACCAGGGTCCGGTAGGGAATTGGCTCCCCACAGAAATAGTAGGCCACAACGATGCTGTCACACGGCGGAGTGCTCACGCCGCCCGCCTTCTTCTGTGACTTCGTCCTGGGCAGAGACAGCCAGAGCTGGGGTCCCAGCGGCACTGCCCGCGACGCTGCCTGCCGCCGCCCGGCACACCCCGCCTGGGGCCTCCCAGCCCCGCCCACCGGCAGTACCTCTGCTTGGCGGGCAGCTTGCTGGCCCGCTTTTCCTCCTCCTCCAGACGCCGGCGGGCCTCCTCCAGCTGGGTCAGGGGGTTGGGCGCAGGGTTGGGGGGCATAGTGGGGTCTTGGATGAAGAGATGAGAAGGCTGGACGGAATTCCGCAGCTGGGCGCTGACCCAGGGGTGCACGGCCCCGGGGCGCTCAACGGACAGGGGCCTGGTGTTCTCGTGGGCCTGCTGCCTCTTGGCCCCGGAAGGTCTGGGGGAGGAGAATGGCACCTGAGATTGCATGGCCCCAAGACGGAGGTTGGTGCCCCAGAGAAAGGGTGCGAGGCAAGGTGTGAGCACCCCAGTGGCAAACCCTCAGAGGTGTGGGCTGAGCCCCTATGCATCCCTCACCTAAAACGCCAGTGGCTGGAGCGAGCCCCACACACGCCTGCTCCCACGCTCCCCTACCTTGTCAGGGCAGGGACGTCAGGGCCTCCCACGGCCCCCACTGTGAGGACCCCACCTCCCCCGGGGCCTCTAGACGAGCGACCGCTCACCCGTGGCCGGCCTTCCGGTGCCTGCTGATCTCTTTCTCGCCCTCGATGATCCATTGCAGGATGGTCTGCGTCTTCTCTGCCCCCTCGGGCGAGCCCGGCACCTCTGAAGGGGTCACACCCCGGCCCACCTCCACCTTCTTGGCTGTCCTCTTGGAGGACGCACTTGGCTTCCCACTGCAGGGACGAGACCCAGGGGTCACAGGGCCTGCGCCCCCAGCCAGGAGGGTGGCCAGTGGCTCTGCCATGTGACGTGGGTGTAAGACGGGGCCCCCCTCCTGCTCACCACCCCTCTCCTGCTGAGATAACCACAGCCTGTGCCCACCACATGCAGGAGCCCGAGGACCCCGCCCCCAGACTCCTGAATGCCTATCCGGTGGTCACACGCCCTCCACGTGTTGGCAGCGGCCCAGGCCTGCGCTTTGTGCTTTACACCACTGCCACGGGCAGCCCCTATGTCCCGCCCTGACAGACACCTGTCCAGCAGGTGCAGCGGGCTGCGGGCTCACCTGTAGCCCAGGCTGTCGGTGGCCGCGGGGGCAGTGCCCGCACTCTCAGGGAAGCCGCGAGGCTTGGCGAAGCTGTGCAGCTCTGGGCTCCACTGGAAGTTGCCCTGGACACGGCGGGCGGCCTCCGCCTCAACCTGCTCCTTGGGCTTGGCCGCACCATGGTGAACGTGGTGGTGGACATGCCGGTGGTGGTACAGGCCGGCCGGGTCCAGCTTTGTGCCTGCTTTGGCGGCATGTTTGCCATGCCCAGCTGCCCCACCCAGCGCCGTGGGCAGCCTGGTCACATGCCCGCTGTCTGGGGACTGGCGGCCGGGCGTACGCAGGACCCGCTGCACATGCTCGTCCAGGATGCTCTCGGGGTCCTCCTCATGGGCGTCTCGGGGCCCCGAACAGCCCGCGTCCGCGTAGCGCGGCGGGAAGTGGTGCCAGGCCTGGGGGTGAGGCAGCTTGTGGCCTGCCCCCAGAACGCCAGGGGCCACGTCCACATCTTCACCCTCCTCCTCCTGCGGGGACAGGTGCCCCTTCAGGAACCAGGGCTCAGCACACAGATAGCTCACACCTGACAGGATCTCACGGGGAGCAGCCAGACAGCTCGCACACACTTCCGTACATCCTGACACACACACATTGCAACCACCTCAGCCCTCACACGCACAGGCATACAACACACACACACACACACATACTTCTGTACACCGCGACACGCGCACACTGCAACCACCTCAGCCCTCACACACACAGGCATACATACATATGCACACATGCACACACAACACACACGCAGTCACCCCCCCAGACACCCACACTCCCCAGCCATCCTCTCCACAGACACTCACACTCACATCCACTCTCCCCAGATTCCCTCACTCCCCACCCACTCCCTTCACAGACCCCCTCACTCCCCACTCTCTCCACAGACACCCACACTCCCCACGCACTCTCCCCACAGACACCCACTCTCCCACAGACACCCACTCTCCCACAGACACCCACTCCCCCAGACACCCTCACTCCCCACAGACACCCACTCTCCCCACCCACTCTCCCCACAGACACCCACACTCCCCACAGACA